CAGCTCTGAGTGTGACTCAGTTCCACTTCACAGCCTGGCCTGACCATGGAGTGCCTGACTATGCCACTTCACTTCTCGCCTTCCGCAAGAAAGTGAAGAAACATCACAAGGGAGGAATGGGACCAATGATTGTTCATTGCAGGTACAAGAATTTGCATGGTGTAAGCTTAAACGATTCCGTTGCCTATTCAAACAGTGCTGGTGTGGGGAGGACAGGGACTCTGATAACTATTGACTGTGTTCTTGAGCAGCTGCAAGGGGAGAAGGTGGTGGATATAGCTGGTGTCATCATCCACCTCCGCACACAGAGAATGAAAATGGTTCAGAGCCTGGTAAAACACCAGAAAATTTTAAAGTGCTCACTTCATTTTAAGACATAACACAGGACCAGTATGTGTTTATCCATGATGCCATTCTGGAAGTTATTACGTGTGGAGATACACAGATTGATGCTGGAGATTATATCCAGAAACTAAGGAAGTACAAAAGTTCACCAAATGCTCACCCAAATGAATTTGATAACCAGTTTAATGTAAGGAGCCAGTGGTGGTCACCGGCTATTTACTTCTTGTCTGTGTACAGGCATTACCGTAGGAGTATATTTGCCATTGAAGTAGGGCCTCATTGTAGTTTTTCACTCAGGAACAGTGAATCAAACAAGTTCTTGCCTTGCGCTGTCGTATGTCACAGTGGGGGTTCATTGTGACCATTATTCTCAGCAGTGTTATCTATTACCCCACAGGCAGTAGCTATTGACCCTTTATGGCTATGAGTGTACCGTAATATTTTCTTCTTGTCGTTGGCTCCTTAGACTGTTTACTTCTACACATAGGTCTCCAGTTTTTGTGACTGCTGTGTGAGTAAAATCCATGAGTACGGTGCTTCACAACACATTATGCATGCCTTTGTTGAATTAAAAGTCCGACAATTATGCAATGTGAAATAAACTTTTGACTACAGGTTCTTGAGAAATTATCCCCTACACCAATGGAAGTATCACAGAAAGTGGGTCTTAATAATCCTTCCAAGAATCGCAATGATCGATACCTTCCTGGTACTGATACATACATTTATAAAGTGTTCTTGCTGAGTTTGAGGCTTAGTTTAATGGCTTTTGTATGTAGATCTTGAGAGAGTGTACGACTTATAACAATCCTAGTGTGCTAGTTGTAGGCTTGCAAATATGCGAGAATGAAGGATATATTCAATCATGCTATTATCTCTCTGCAGGTGATCAGTGGCGTGTTGTATTGAGGGGAGATAAAGTGGATTACATTCATGCTGTTTTTGTTAATGTAAAGACTAGCATGTTTTTTCACTGGTGTTGGAATAGGTGTATAGTAGCTAAAGTCCTGTATCTCAATGTACAGGGTTACAAGCAACAGAGAGCATTCATCATAGCTCAGAGTCCCATGGAGTCCACAGCCAGAGATTTCTGGAAGATGGTCCATGACAGGAAGTGTGGAGTCATTGTTATGCTCTGTGACTTGGTAGAAGATGGAGAGGTGAACATTTGTGTGTGTTTCGTAACACTATAGGAAGTGAGGTGTCATTGTAGGAGATGTGTTATCAATACTGGTCTAAGACAGGAGTAGCTCAGTTTGGAGAGTATACAGTTGATCTGCTAGAGGAAAAGGCAGTTAAGGGATTCCTCCTCCGTAAAATCGCTGTTTACAACATTAAGGTAGACGTGAACCATCTTAATACTTTTAACACAACTGCTATTATTTGTGGTGCAACAGACTGCTGATGCTCATCAGGTTGTCCAACTACACATGGTAAACTGGAGTCCTGATGGAAGCTGCTCAAACCTCACCACAATCACTAGTGTCATACGTGAGATGACGGATATTCAAATGAAGACTGGGAATCAACCAATTGTAGTTCATTGCAGGTGTGAGCATTCATTCGTGTAGGCTAACTATAGATGGTTTGGTATCGGTGTATAATTTATGAGCATTCAATTTGAGTAGTATAAATGACATGGTGACACCTGTGGGCTTTCAATGTTCTTTCTTTGATATGAATGACCTTTATAAATAGGCAACGCTTTCTTCTGCAGTGACACAGTGGGTAGGTCTGGGATGTTCTGTGCCATAGTCACCACCATTGAGAGGTGTAAGACAGAGGGAGTGGTGGATGTGTTCCAGGTGGTCAAGGCTCTCAGGGTACAGAAACCTGGAGCTGTCCTCACTGTGGTGGGTTATCTATCTACGTACTAAACTGTTCTCAAACACTTTTGCAAGTATGAGCATATAGCTAAAAATGTCTTGCCGTGAGCTTGGACATGCCTATATGTTCAACCACAGTTTCTTCTATTGCCCACTCTTTTACAGGCTCAGTACCGCCTGTTGTTTGAGGCAGTGTTGGTGTATCTGGAATCATTTGATACATACAGCAATTTTGTACGTAAATAGATGGCTTTTAGGAACAAACTCTGTAGCAAACTGTTCATTTATTCACAACTGCTTTTGCTGCATTTCACTGCTGATTTTTAATTATAATGGCCAGTTAATGCAGTTATCATTTAGTGATACATACGACCCAACAGAATTGCAACACACACCACAATGTATTTTTGCGTATCTATCAGTATTTACCCCCACGTTCCTTTCTGTAAGCTTCTAAGGAATCTTAATCAGTGCAAAGGGTTATTCAATGAGCTTGTGTGTGTGTGTGTTCATGGCTCCTCTCTGACACACTGGGCATCCTGGTGCAGAGCCCCTTTTGCCTTTTAGCATCCCGCAACAAGAGTGGGTTAATAATTATTGGAGGCAGGATGTATTTTGTTTGAACGAAAGCGCGTTATCTCACTTGATTGACATGTTTTATAGGCCTGCTCGACTCAGGGACATATGAGTTTTTGGGCCTTTTACAGGGATCACAGGCTTGTATTTTGACTCAGTACCAGGGTACGTTTTTCCAAACCCACTGTTGGGGTATGGCACTGTTTTACTATTGAAGTTTGTAGTGCAGCCACCACAATGTGTGTGACTCACTTCAACAAGATCTGCCCTCAAACATCACCCCCACAGAGTGTGGACATGCTTCGGAGTGTGCGTGCTGAACGCTTAACACTGATCTTTTCTGCATGATTATACAACCTTGGATCACTTTATAGTTTGTTAAGTGTGTGCTTCATCTCTTTGGTTTATTTTTAGAAGGGGATGATTTCATATTCAGCCTCTGGAGGGGTGGCAGTTTGACATGTCTTAGTGTTTGGAGTTTTCTTGTGCAGTGACACACCGTAAGCTTGATTAACCCTCGGCGCGCATGCGAAGCGAGGGTTACAGTAGTCGTTCTGTCGGTCTGTCCGTCTGTTCTCGCACTACAGGCTACGAGGCGGCCAATGAGTGGCACCAACCGGTTGTGAACAACGGGAAGATGGATATTAATGTGGCGATTTTCCTGAAACGACTGAGTTCCCGAGATACGGCTTGAAAACAAGCGAAAAAGCCAACATGCTATCGATCGCGCACGCACCCTCTCCGGCAGGCTATATAGCGCGCACGCGTCATGTCAATTATTCGCCGGAGCATGCGCTACGCCACGTTTTATACGATCCACGGGCTTCTGTCAGTTTTGATCTCTGTTCTGTTTGTTTTTTCAATGGATAAACATGCTGATCAAGGTATATTCGCAATGTAGCATAATAGTTCAGTTGGCGAGCAGTTTGTGGCTTCGGCCTTGCCTTCCCATCTATAAAACGTCTGGCGAGAGCATTGAAACACAGAAGAGCAGATAGATTGTGTGAAGGACTTCGCAACCCTGCTTTCCTTGCCCTTCCCGGTAACTGATTTTAGTGACACTTAGGTTTAGATTAGTGCTCAATCCTTCACCATAATTAGTACATAGAGAGTAGCTGGCTCCGATGATTTCACCTATTCTTGTCTGATATACATTCTGTCGCCCTTTTGAGTTCTTTTGAGTTGTTCACTATGTTCCTCCATATCCTTTCTGATCACACTCTGTTGTAACAATCACTAAGGGCCATCAATGCAATGCCCGCCTCTCGTTTCACCTACCTCATTGTCCACATCCTAGATTGCATGTCACTCTGTCTCCATCACCAGTCACAGAGTCTACCTCTGTTCACCCACCTTTTTCCTGTCCTTTTTGTGTAAAAGGAGCTAGCTGCTCGACATGATAGGACCGAGAATTACATATATTTTAGAAAATATACTCTCAGCCAACTCTCCTCTTCGCCGCTACAGCCGCGCTCCATCACAGATTGAATAAAGCAAATATGAGAGCCTCTGAAACACCTGAGCCATTGCTCTATCCGCTAATGCAACTACCCTGTGTTACGGCGAGACTCGTGTTACAGGCTCAGTCGATGATGCACGGCCCAGCATACAGCGATGCTACAACTCGCGCGTTTAGCGCCGAGGGTTTGCACTTTAGTGCTTTTGATTATCTTCAGTAGTTACTTTGTCGTAAGTCACGACCATAAGAACTGATCATCACATACAGCACGGCATACATTTTTTAGACGGCAAACACGTGGTGGAGAAAGTTCTAGAATGTTATGTAAATGTGATAGCATCGTGCAGCTGATGATGATCTGTCACATGTGTAACCACGACTCGGGTCGACTTCACTACACCACTCCCCCCCAGTGGCTTACGACGTGTACGATGTGAAGTACTTAGGGAACTGGACTCGTCGTCCTGAGCGAGTGGTGACATATGGTGCGATGGCTGTAGACTCGACGCTGGGTTGGGCGTATCGCTGTCGAGATGGGCAGGTTTAAGGCGATTGATTGACACCGTGTCCTTACGGCCATTAATGTCCACAGTGAAGTGCTTGTCCGTGCGTTGGAGCACTGAGTATGGTCCATCGTACGGCGGCTGCAAGGGTCTACGTACCGCATCCCGACGGATGAAGACATGTGTGGTGGTTGCCAGGGCCCCACTCACGTGACTGTCCCTTCGCACGGGTCGAGGCGGAAGGGGCCGGATCCTTCGCATGTGAGTTCGGAGTCGTGAGACGTAATCTGCAGGGTCGGGCAGCGAAGGAGAGGAAGTGGGAGTGAAGAATTCGCCGGGCAGGCGCAGCGTTGCACCATACACCATCTCTGCTGCGGTGGATGATATATCCTCCTTTAGTGCCGTCCGTATGCCGAGGAGTGCTAGTGGCAGCGCCTCCATCCATGACGTGGGGTTGGTTTGGGCCTTCAGTGCAGCCTTCAGCTGGCGGTGAAACCGCTCAACCATACCATTGGCCTGGGGATGATAGGCAGTGGTCCGAGCTCGTTTTGATCCCAGCAGGGTCATCAAGGCGTCCCAGAGATGTGATTCGAATTGCCGACCGCGGTCTGTTACAATGGTGGACGGAACACCAAATCGAGCAACCCAACCGCTGAGAAAGGCTTGAGCTACAGCTTCTGCTGTGATTGTAGTGATGGGAACTGCTTCTGGCCACCTGGTGAACCGATCAACACAGGT